TATCTTTCGTGACAGAATCAGTAACCAGGACAAGACCAAATTATTTGCACGAGTCCAGGCAAGATACAGATCAGGATTATCAAGAGTATGGACAGAGATAGTACCAATGACGAATCCAGACTTATTTTTTACGTTGAGCGCCATTAAAGCTGAGCGAGACCAAGAAACATAATTCTCACCATTGAATTGTTCAGCGACAATTAGGGCTCCTGGATTGTCACTAGCATGAATGTAATAAGGCGTCGAAGGAATATTGTCGGTCAAGCGTGAGATTGTGGATGAAGTCGCCATGAATCAACAGTAGATCGTGATCACAGTTGAGATTAGATCGAGACAGAGAGTAGATCGAAACAGGAGATTGCGATTCAAGGTGAAAAACGCAAACCCTAACAGAGATTCCCATTAGATAAAGAACATAAATCAAATCAAATGAGTGTATATCGGAGTTGTGCGGAAGCAAGTATAGTGAAACTGAGCGATTGATACCATATCAGATTATGAGATTGAAGATCGAAGAATCGATAGAGAGAAAACGAAAGGAACCTTTACTCAGATCTGGAAAATGAAAGTACAAAATAAAAATTGTGTTTGGAAATTAGGGTTTCCACCTATTTATACTAGCTTATCTAATGTAACAAAAAGGTGTCAAAAACTATACACGTTTTTACTAAAGAAAATACAACTTTAATATAAAACAATGAAAATTACAAAAACATAAATAAAAACCTATCATCTATTAAAAATCTATTCCCTTAATTTATCCCCCAAATATAGGGTGTCCCAAATTTATTATATACACACACACATATATATATATAATATGTAATATGTAATAAGGTTGTAAATGGCCTGTTGAACTGACTCGAACAAAAAATTCAACCCATTTGTTAATCCATCGAAAATAAGCGTATTGAAATTGGATAACTCACAATACAAATAAATTCTTATATTCCATCGAAAAATCCTATACTAATATATTCCAATGGAAATTCTAACGGATATTCCAATGGTATGGCTTTCGTTGGAATGATTCCAACGTAATTCCAACGAAAATATTCCGTTGGAATATGTTTTCATTGGAATTTTAGATGGAATTTGATGATTTCAAGTTTCCAACGGCTATATTTCCAACAACTTTTTACCTTAAGAATTTGCGTTAGAATTTTTATTTCCACCGTTGTTGGAAAATCTATCGTTGGAATCGTCAAAGCCCAACAAAAATTCTTATGGAAAACTCATTCTAACGGAATATTTTTGTTGGAATTTCCGTTGGAATCCATTGAAAAATTCCAACAGAAATAATAACATTGAAAAATATTCATTGGAATTGTCGTTGGAATTCTATTTGAATATATTTCCGTTGAAATTTCATCATTTTCTTGTCGTGTCAAGTATACAGTTTAATATACAAATAATTTATTTTTATAGTTATATGTATGTATAATATTGTTGCACTACAAGAAAATGATGAAATTCCAACAGAAATATATTCAAATAGAATTTCAACGGCAATTCCAATAGATATTTTCAATGTTATTATTTCCGTTGGAATTTGACAATGGATTCCAACAGAAATTCCAACAAAAATATTCCGTTGGAATGAGTTTCCCACTGGAATTTCCATTGGATTTTGACGATTCCAACGGTAGATTTTCCAACGGGGGTGGAAATAAAAATTTCAATGGAAACTGCATATTCCAACGGTAAAAAGCCGTTGGAATTATCAGATTCATCTAAAATTCCAATGAAAAACACATTCCAGCCAAATATTTTTGTTGGAATCATTTCAACGGAAGCTATACTATTGGAATATATTAACATAGGATTTTTCATTGGAATATAACAATTTTTTTGTAGTGTTATAGCAAATTACAAAGTAGACATATTTTTTAATTTACAAACGTTTTTTATACTCAGCTCGAACAATCTCGAATTTGAGTTAATCAAACAATTTTTAGCAAGCTTGTTTATGAATTTTTCAAGCCAATAAACAAATAAAATAATTAATGCCTAAGGGCATCCGCAACGCTAGTTTTTTGGCCCCGTTTAAATGGAGAATATGTCGTTAAGTGGGATGCAAAGCGTTCATTTAATGTGGCCCCCACCTCGTTCATTCAGTCCATTAAACGGACAGTGCTCCTTTTTTTTTTATTTTTTGTTTCTTTTATTTAATATTTAACTCAATATTTAAAGGTCCATTGCTGCAGCTATTTTTTTTTTTTAAAATATTTGATGTGGGCCCCCAAACTATTTATTTTTATTTTCTTTATTGAATGAATGAATGAATATGAATGTAGGTGAATGTTTAAATAGAAAGATGTTAAGTGGAATGATGATGTGGATATGAAGTGGATGAGAGAGAGTGTAAATTGTGATTGAATGAATGAATATGGATGTGGATGCCCTAAGAGTTACGTAAAATTAATTAATAAATAAAAATTTTGTGGGGTTCACTTTAACATTAGAGGGAACGGTAGCTGGATATTAGGTCAACATGAACAGTTAATCAATTGGGCTACTGACTAGTGATGTTCTTAAAAAATTCAATGAAAACCAAAATTTGGTACAGTTGTATATGGCTCCCATCACATTCATGCCTGGTAATAAATTGTTCATAATCACTGGAAACTTTTCCAAAAATGTCATAAAACTAAATTAAATTTAAAGTATTCTTACTTCCTATTAGAACTCGAATTTATCGTTGAGGGAAAAACAGTGTCTAATTTGTCCAATTGCTAGTCAGCTGACAATACAATAAAAACATAATCTTTAAGAAAAGGGTGTCTAATTTAATGCCTAATGTGAAAACAAGCAAGTCATATATATTATGAAAGACTATATAGTTATCAACCTGCATTGAAAATTGTAAAGACTATATATAAAGTAATTGCAAGTATATCTAGCTATATCATCTTCACATTCATACCACTTCTACACTAAACTAAAAGTATCTTGAAAATTATTTGGGCTATATCTGATCTCTCTAATATGTAACTAGAAGACTTTTTTATATTTTTTATTTTCTAAAGGCAGATATTTAAAGAAGTCACCCCCTTTGGAATTTGCTCAGTAAAAATTGACTAGGGATGATTGACTTTGGATTACGTTGACCCAAAGGATCCATTTGGAATTTGGTCAAGGAGTTGAAATTGACTTGGGATTATTGACCGGATTACATTGACCAATGGGTGAAAAAACCTTTTTTTTTTTTGGTACAGAGATGGCGGACAGAGCCCCAAAGCTACGAAAATTGATGAAGTTAGGATGTCGGTTGTACTCGAGTAATATTTTTTTCCCTTAACTTAAGTGCATCATGTCTTACAAAACTTAATTAATTTATTACATCTAAATATTATTTTAATACCTAATCCAAAAATTGTATATCTTGTGTGTCAGTAAAGCATTAATTACGGCTTAATCATGTAGGTAATTTTATGATAAACATGCCTCCATTTAAAAATGTTCACTAGTTAGTACCCAACTAGTACAGAGCCCGTGCGATGCACGGGGTGCACAATTTTAAGGTTATTTATCCAGGCTTATATGAATAAAGAAAAATGTACGGGATATATATAGTACGTGACCCGTGCGAAGCACGAGATATATTTATTTGGAGAATATTATATTATAAGATGCAATATTCAATAATAGTTTATAATACGCAAAAAAATTGTACAATGTTCAATAAAAGTTTTATAATATTCAAGTGGAGTCTTAAAGTCTCATGTACATTAAGACTACTGACAAAATAATATTTTAATCAATGAGTTTCCTTTCCTTGTAGCCAAATTGTGAATGTGATTTGAGGAGTACAACAAATCGATATATAGCTGACTTGCTTTTTTCATTATATTTTTCTTTTCTTTTTTTTTATAATGAATTTAAAGATATTCTAAAATATAGCAAAAATTAATTTTTTAATTACAATTAAGAATTTTACTAAATATAGAGTCTCAATCTATGGTGTTAATCAACGTTTAAGTCTAAAAAGTTAAGAATTTTTACCTCTTTTAATCAACGTTTAAGTTTAAAAAATAATAGAGTTATTATAAGTTTTTTTCTACATCTTTTAAAACATTAAATATGAGCATGCTAGGGTTAGCTTGTAAAATAATTAATATATTATCTCACTAAAACATTTATACTAATAAAAATTTAATTTTAACATATAAATTTATCCCTTGATATAAGAGAAAGTAACAGTTTTACTTATTGTTGTTCACCATATAATATTTAATTATTATTTTATTATATAATAAAAAAAGAATATTGTTAAATAGTGTAGTAGAATTGTTATAAAATTATATGATTTTTTTTTACTGTATGGATTTAATATTTTTTTATGATTTGATAATATAAACAAATCTATACTTAATTTTGACAAATAAAACAAATAAATACTTTAGTAAGTATTTAATGTATATACTAAATAGGAATATATTTGGTATAATTAAATACCAAATATAATCAAATAAGTCAAAGTGTACATTTTTATTTGGTATTTGATTTTTTTATTATTAAAATCTTTTTATTATACTTATATTTTTAAAATAAAACAAATAAATAAATCAATTAAATAAATAAAATATTATAATACTAAAATAGTAATGACATTTAATGCAGTTGACTTTTCTGGATAGTAAATGTAGTAAATAGTATCTCTTTTTATATAAGTTGAATTGTATAATACAGAAATAATAATGCAATAAATGTTGTTGACTTTTATTTATACTAAATCTGTAAATAGTATACTTTTAATATAAGTATAGATCAACAAAAAGATTTTCCCTGTCGGTACAAAAAAGTAAAAAAGCCGACATGATTTTTCTCTACATTATAATTATTTATTTATTTATTTTGTTCAACTGAATCCGACCCGATTGCGTGGGCCCGCGAAGGCCATTCTCGGTATTTCACTCTAGATTTCGGCTCTCATTTACGGCGCGTTTCTCTGTATATATATGAGCACAACAATTTGTGATAATTCGCAACAGCTTTTCCTTTTCTTCTCCCAATTAAATTATCTCTTCTTGTTTGTCCATTCTCTCTCACACAGCACACACTTGAATTGTGTGTTTATAGAGAGCATCTTTATTTTCATTATTTTTCTTTGGAGCTGAAGATTTTGGCTGTAAAAATTGCAGGTTCGTGGATTATTTATTATATTTTATTTCTTCTCTGTCTGAGTTTTTTTGTATGTGGTTACCTGTTTTGTGGGATATTTGTTTAGTTCCCTTTTNTTTACCCAACGACTTTTGCGAATGAACTAAGTGCCCGAAATATGTGAATGACAATTTTACCCAACACTTTTACGAATGAACTGATCATAGCCCAAAATATATGAGTTAGTTGTCATTTTTGCAATTCTATTCATTAATTAGTGAATAGTTTTTGTTTGTTTATTATACTTTTGAATGTGTTATGTTCGATTTTTAATAGTTACGGGGCCTTATATATAATTACAAAAGTTAATGGACAAAACAATCATGCTATTTTGCAATCTTCCCTACAATGGCCGACTAAATTAAAGCACTCACTTGTGTGCCACATGCTTAAATTAATGTCTTAGTACAATAGTGGCAATTTTTTCTTTTTTTTGGATGAATTTCCATTTTCTTGAAAATTAAACACATGTGATGTTTCTTTCATGCAATAACTTGGACCATTAACTTCATTTTGTTTTATTCAAGTGCAATGAACCCATGCTTGAATTTATATAGCCAGCTTATCCAAATTAGCATCCAGTAAATATTTCTGGTTATAAATATTTGCTTTGGTGAAGATTATATCAAATTGTTACATAGGTAAAATACAAATTAGAGGTAATTTGATGATTTGATAGGTAATTATCAGACAATATGCAAGTAGAATTTAATGATTTGATAGGTAATTATCAGATTAGAGCCTTTTTTTTCTAAACTTGCTCTTTTCCTTATTATCTGATAATAATTCAAAATTGTAGTTATTATTCATCAAGACTCTAATACCCCATTTTCCATTGCTTAGTTTTCATCACAACTTGAATTTGCCCAAAAAAAAAAAATGCCGGAAAAAATGGAGGAGAAATTCGACTCGGAGATGGTCGTGGAGCAATTCGAGCTTCTATCCATGGATGCAGAGAGAATTCAGAAAGAGACTTTGAAACAAATACTCGAAGAAAATGGTGAAACTGAGTATATTCTCAAATGGGGCCTTTTCGGAAAAACCGACCCTAATAGCTACAAGGCTCGTGTCCCCATCGTCACTCACAAGGACTTGGAGCCTTATATTCAACGAGTCGCGGATGGTGAAAAATGGCCCATCCTCACCGGAAAACCGATTTCTGCTATTTCTCTTAGGTATGGATCGAAAAAGAAAAAAAAAAGAATATATATATATATATATTTTACAAATATGCATATATATTTTCTTTAAAAATGTTGTATTTATAAAGTTACTTAAACAAAATTACGATATTTCATAATATAAATATGTATTTTTGTTCATTTGTGTTCAATGAGTATGACTGGTCGATCCCAACTTGACGTGTTTTTGTATTTAGCATCTCTTGAGGGGTGAGTTCTGTAATTTACAATTATTGGTGGGAGTGTGGTCCCATTCTTGGGATAAGGGATAGTTTTGGTATTTGTGGAGTGAAGAGTTTATATCTACATTTAATTGATCCAACACAGTACAAATTTTGCAGCTCGGGCACCACTCAAGGCAAGCCAAAGTTTGTACCTTTCAACGACGCTTTAACTGACAGTACCATGCAAATGTACAAGACCTCTTTTGCGTTCAGGAACAAGTAATCTTATCTTCTTACATATGCATGTGATACTTTTCTATAAAGCTGTCGAGAAATTTTCCGACCGAACTTGTTTGACATGAAAATTGTTCGAGAAATCATATGGCGGGTCAGAGGATTATTTTTCAATCGGTTTTTTGTTGCACTCGGTCGATGTTTTCTAAAGCGTAACGTCGCTTAGAGGATCAAATTCTCCATTATTTTCCCGTTCGATTAAGATTAGTAGCTTATGAATTTCAATAAAATTCCCCCCTTTTTGTAGGGAATTCCCGATCGAGAACGGGAAAGCATTGCAGTTCATCTACGGCAGCAAAGAGTTCAAAACGAAGGGCGGCCTACCGGCTGGGACGGCCACCACGAACGTGTACCGCCACCCGAAGTTCAAAAACACGATGAAGGCAATGCAAACGCCGTGTTGCAGCCCTGACGAGGTCATATTCGGTGACAACTACCACCACTCCCTATATTGCCACCTCCTTTGCGGCCTAATCTCCCGACACCAAATCCAAGTCGTCTCGTCCACATTCGCCCACAGCATCGTCCAAGCTTTCCGCGCGTTCGAGCTCGTGTGGAAGGACCTTGTCCGCGACATTCGGGAAGGGTCTTTGACCAATCAAATAGTATCGAAGCCCGTCCGGTCGGCCATGGGTAGGATTTTGACGAGGCCCGACCCTGACCTAGCCGACTCGATATGGGACGAGTGCTTGAGGCTTAGCAATTGGTACGGTTTGATTCCGGCATTGTTCCCCAACGCCAAGTACGTGTACGGGATCATGACGGGCTCGATGGAGCATTATTGTGAGAAGTTGAGGCATTACGCAGGCGATTTGCCGCTGGTAAGCGCGGATTACGGGTCGTCTGAGGGCTGGGTTGGGGCTAACATCGACCCGCTTGCCCCGCCGGAGGAGGTCACCTTCGCCGTGCTTCCGAATGTGGCGTTTTTCGAGTTTATCCGTTTGAGCGGTGGCGGGATGGAGGTGGCAGCCGCAGAGCCCGTTGGGCTCACGGAGGTCGAGGTCGGGGAAAAGTATGAGGTGGTGGTCACTAATTTTGCAGGTAGTTACATTTTACAGTTAGACTGTCTCACACATAGAATTTTTGTGCTATAGATATATGTATAAAAAATCATGACATTTATGCGTATATATAAATGTATAGGATTATACCGGTACCGGCTAGGGGACGTGGTCAAGGTCAAAGGGTTCCACAACGCGACCCCCTTGCTTGGGTATGTGTGTCGCAAGAACCTCATCCTCAACATCAACATCGACAAGACCACCGAGAAAGACCTCCAGCTGTCGGTCGAGCGGGCCGCGGTAGTTCTTGCGGAGGACAAATCGAAGGTGGTCGACTACACGAGCTGCGTGGACGAGTCGGTCGAGCCAGCCCGCTACGTCGTCTTCTGGGAGGTCAGCGGCCTGCCCAGGGAAGACGTTCTGAAGGAGTGTTGTGACCGTCTGGACGGGTCGTTTTTGGACGCGGGCTATGTGAGCTCACGCAAGACGGGTACCATAGGGCCCCTCGAGCTGAGGGTGGTGAGGAGGGGCACGTTTCACGAGGTGATGGATCACTACGTGGGGATGGGGGCGGCCGTGAGCCAGTTCAAGACTCCGAGGTGCATTGACGGGCGGGCAAACGGGCGGGTCGTGGAGATCTTGACCCGAAATGTGGTCAAGAGCTATTCTAGTTGTGCATATTAAGTATTGTGTTTGTGTGTTTGTTGTTGTTGTTATGTTGTAATGTGTGATTAAGATAACTTTGATCCTATAGGTGATGGTGTTGCTCTAATTAGGTATTTTATAGTTGGATCGGCCATGTATGTGTATGTGATCCAACGGTGAAAAATTCAATGAAAGTACTGCCCTCAATGGTATGTCGACCACAAAGTGTGATTAGAAAGTACTTCTGAAAATTGTACTTAGTGTTGTATTTTCTTACATTTTCTACTTGAATGAAATAACTTAAGTTATAAATCTATTTTTGCATATAGATTTACAACTAGATGAATAATATATCGACAAAATCTGAATTATTAATTTTAATAATATTGTAATGAGAAGAATAATAGATATTTGTTAGGTGTATTTTTGACATAACGTGACATAACGTGTAGCTAATTGTTATATTTCTAATATTAGCCAATGCCAATCATGTGGCTAGTGGCTCTTGCTCATTATATTTCTTCCGTTTCGTATCTTCTCAAACCTCCCCACTTTGTTTGGGAACAAGACGATAATAATGATTAAGCTTGTAAGTATAGATATGAAATGCTGTTGTTATAATTATATGCATAAATATAATTTATGTATATAAATTTTACTAAAAATATATATGAATTAATGCTCTAACAAGTTACTTGTTATAATTATATGTATATATATATTTTATGCAAGTAAATTTTATGAAAAATATATATTGCATACTTAAAATATGTAATTTTATTGAAAATGCCTTACATTAATTAAATATTTTTTTTATTTACATTGTCAAGTGAAATTCCACTCTAAAACATTACAAATAAAAGTTCAGGCTTTTAAGAGAAATGAATAAAATCTACAAATGGAGATTGGAGACATTTTTACAAAAAAACCTATTTTGTCTCTCTTCGAACAAAGAACAATCCCTAAATCCTTGAAAATATAATCGTCGTTTTTCTTGGCCTCCCCGTCGGCGGGTGAGCCGCACCCAACGATGTTGGCCGACGTCAGGTCGGCTCCGGTTAGGCTATATACTCAGTGAGCTCGCGGTCGTCTCTTCCGCGTGGATTTCTTCTTTGTCCGGATGCCATAGAGGTGGTAGGTGGGTTGTCGTCGGCTCGTGGGTGGTGCGCAGGGTCTAGGTGGGTTAGTGGTTGCTTGCGGCCGTCGGTTTGAGGTCAATGCTTCGGGCTCCCAGAATCTGGTTGTCCCTGGGGTGAAGAAGTTGGATCCATCCGCGGTGGTGTCTTTTTGATTGAGAGTGTCGACAGTTGTGGTGGGAGAGGGTGTAGGTTTGGATCTCCTAGGGCTGACCGTGGTGGTGAACTGTGAAAGGATTTCGGTCTGTCAGTCTGAATTGAGTTAGCAGTAGTGGGAGTTTCTCAACCTTATGTTGGGTTGTAGGCTGTGTAGCTTTTTTGTCTGGTTGATTGCCTAGGTGTCAATTTGAGTGGCGACAGTTCGGGGTGTTGTTCGGCTTGTGGGGAGGTTGTTATT